CAGAGAACTCGTGGTTGCCAAAGGGGAGGTGGGTGGGGGGATCTGTGAAGTAGGTAAAGGGGATTAAGAGATACCAACCTCCAGTTATAAAATAAGTCACAGAGGTGAAAAGGAACAGCATAGGGAATATAGTCAACAATGTAATAGCGTTGTATGGGGACAGGTGGTGATTACACTTATTGCGGTGGGCACTGAGTAATGTATAGAATTTTTGAATCAATATGCTGTACACCTGAAACTAATATAACCTTGTTTGTCATTATACTTCAGCAGACATTTTTTTAATATAAAAAATTTAAAAAGAACTGATTTTTCATAAGTGCTAACACTCACTAAGCCCCAGGAACCACGCAAAGTCTTTTACACATACTCTGTCCTCTGGACAATCCTAGGGGGGTTGATACCTCCTCTGTTTGCACCATTCACAGATGAGGAAACTGAGGTTCAGGGAGGGTAAGTTACATGCAGTGGGAGAAATTCACTACTGAATGATCATTCTTGACTTCTCACTGATACTCTTTTTCTAATCCCATCTGTCCTCCTCTGTCCATTCTGGAAGAAAGCATCCCCAGGGGACCCAGGCCACCCACCAGGTAGGGTCCTTTATATGCCACTGGCTGGAATCCGGCAGGACAGTTTTGCCACACCTGTAACAAGGTGGAGATTATTCATAGAATGGCAATGCTGCGGAGGCGAAATTCAACTCAGCAAGGTCTCTTTAGAGACCCAGGCAGTTTCCTGGAAGTTATAGTGGACTCAGCTGATGGATATTAGAGAGAAGGAACCGTGTGGAAAGGGAGCAAGTCAGGGCATTTGGAGGAATGCTCACTCGTGGGCCAGTGTCTAACTACAAGTAAGTTTCATTCCTGTTTGTCAGAAAGAGGCAAAAATGCAAATGGGTTCTGAAGCTAGGACTTGCTACATAAGTTGCAGGGTCAGTGCAAAAGGAAAATGCAGGGTCCTTTGATGGAAAAAAAAATTAAGAATTTCAAGACAGTGTTAACAGAACTGGAAACCAAGCGTGGGATTCTTTTAAGCATAGCTACACAGATCGCTCACCCATGAAACAGCCCGGTGTGAAGCTGAACAAGGTCCCAGCTGGTGCCTTTCTGTGGCCAAACCACCGTGGTGGTGGCAGTCTACAGGCTGGAGAGGAGGGGAGGGCGCCGCCAGAGTCTGGCTTCTAGCCAATGGCAACTCCTGCTGCTGCTACCACCCAGGGACTTCAAATGGCCCCTCTCTGTGTAAATTTTGGGTCCAGATTCAGGTTTCAGCAAACAGATGTCTCTTTTTTCAGAGAGACAAAGCATGCATGGGGGAGGGGCAAGGAGAGGGAGACACAGAATCAGAAGCAGGCCCCGGGCTCTGAGCTGTCAGCCCAGAGTCCCACGCGGGGCTTGAACTCACAAACTGTGAGATCATGACCTGAGCCCATATCCGTGCATTTGTAAGCTACCTATTCGCATAACTAATCAAACTACACTGTAAGATGAGTAAACCAGATATCATCATATTTCAAAGGTAATCTATAATAATGCATAAGTGCCTTTATACCATACAGAGAGATTTCACATATCCTGTGTCCTAAAATTATCACAAATCTATTCCCACTATGGGTTTGGTTAACTTCACTCCCTCTGTGCTTACTTTTATACCTGTGTTGGTTTGCAAAGTCATTTATCCTCCTACCTCTGGAATTTACTATCTCAGTCCAGTCAAGTTTTCTTGGTCTAAAACTTAGGTCTGTTCTACCGTTAGTTCCAATTAAAGAGTATGGATTAGTGCCTTGGGTGTTATTTCCTGAGTGACCTTTCTCACAGATTTCCAAATGTTCTGCGCATTTTCTGTTTAAATATTTTCCTTTTTTTTCCCTAAAATATTTGGACTATTAATGCCTTTCTTGTCTGTTATAAAAACTACTTTGAGATTGGCATCTTTAAAACATTTAATCTTCCCATTAGGCACATCGTATATCTTCCCAGTTTTCCAAATCCTCTTTTATGCATCAGTAAAATTTTATAATTTTCTTAATATGGCTATATGGCTATTATGGCTATATGGCTATTATGGATTTGGCTGCTATCCCAATAGACTATACTAGTTTTCTATTACTGTGTAACAAATTACCACAAGCTCAGTGAAGTAACACAACACAAATTTATTACCTCCCACTTTTGTGGGTCAGGAATCCAGCTCGGATTAGTGTCGTACAAAGCTGAAGTTAAGGGATCAGCCAGGTGAGTCCTCATCAGGAAGCTTGACTAGGGAGAGATGCACTTCCAACCTTCCTCAGGTTGTTGGCAGAACTCATTTCCTTGTGGTTGTAAGCCTAAGACCCCTGCTTTTTTTTTGCTGTTTGTTACCTGGGGGCAGTTCTCAGTTACCAGAGGCCCCTCCCGTGTCTTTACCATGCGGTTCCTTCCAGAGATCCTCCCTGGAACACTTTGAATCTGTGGCAGGAAGGAGGCAGTGCCTAAGGTCTGATATGATTAAGGCAGGCCCATCCAGGGTAAGTCAAAGTCAACTGATTAGGGGACTTAATTACACCTGCAAAATCCCTTCTGCTGTATAATATAACATGATCGTGGGGGTGACATCCATCATCTTCAGCTTTGCTCATACTCAAGGGGAGGGGATTATATACCACAGGCAGAAATTTTCTGGGGTTGTCTTAGAAAGCTGTCTACACATGTGTCAATGGGCTGTGACTGGAAGCGTTTGATTTTCATCACTTGTTTCCTTATAGCATGAAAAGTTATGTTTTATAACATAAGAAGATATGGCAGGTGGCAAGAAGATCAAAATGGTCAATAAAAGTATTCTAATCATACTAGTGGTAGGACCCAGCCAACGGAATTCTGTATTTCCCTGGTAGGAAAGCAGATACAGAAGTCCTCAAGTTTTAAACTGTTAAGTGTTCACATATCTCTCAATCACCCTTTTTTGCCAAGTGCATCTACCATGCATCACTTGATGAGGAACACTTCAAAGCGTCACGTAATCACGGCCTGCTGGTCAAAAATTCCTTTTCAGCAGCATCTCTTAACTCCGTAAAGGGTATTCGTGCAATTGGATGGTTTATATCTGTTTTTATTATTTTCTAAAAAAGAGCCAAAGGGAAAAGAAAGGCAGTGATGTAAATAAGAACTGATAAATTTAGTATGGCTGAAATAAATACAGACATAAGTGGGCTGAAAGTACCATTTAAAAAAAAAGAGGGCGCCTGGGTGGCGCAGTCAGTTAAGCGTCCGACTTCAGCCAGGTCACGATCTCGCGGTCCGTGAGTTCGAGCCCCGCGTCAGGCTCTGGGCTGATGGCTCAGAGCCTGGAGCCTGTTTCCGATTCTGTGTTTCCCTCTCTCTCTGCCCCTCCCCCGTTCATGCTCTGTCTCTCTCTGTCCCAAAAATAAATAAAAACGTTGAAAAAAAAATTAAAAAAAAAATAAAATAAAAAATAAAAAAAAAGAATCGAGGGGACACTTACTGGAATTAATTTAGAAGAGTCTATGTGCCAGTCAAGGTCTAGTCAGAATAACATAAATCATGCTACATATTTCAAGCAGAGGAGATTTAATAGCTGCTATCAAAAGAAGCTGGAGGCTAAAGCTGTAGCTATCCTCTGTTTAGTGACTTACTAAGTACTTTCACCGGGTACTTATGGAGTGCTCTCTCTATATTGGCTATTATCATTTTTATTATAAAAGTTGGAGATCCCATATAAAATTAAAGGAAGCCATGATTCAACAGATGACACTTAGCCTATAT